GTTTGGCACAAAAAAAAAAAAAAGAAAAGAAAAAGAAAAAGAAAAGAAAAAGCATTGGGTTGCAACAACTGCTATTCTGTGGGGGCTCTAATGTATAATTCCAATAATTCTTGTATCGAGACAATCACGAAAGGCTAAAACCCATGGATTGTGACGGAGCTGCCGTTCCCTACTTCGAAAAAAAAGAGAGAGATAAGATAAAAAAAGAATAATGAGAATGGAGAAAGAGACATTTAGATTTCGACTAGAAACTGAAGGGAACTTGACTTGTTAACAAAGAGAGGGGTGTCATGAGTTGCATTGATCGATACATTCGTTATAGAGATTGACAAACTATGGTGGTCACTTGGATTGATACTTGATTGTTTGAGTTTTTAAAATGATTTCATCTTGAGTCTGGATTAATTAATTTGAGTTGTTTGAGTTATGCACTTATGTGAGAATTGTGAGGCCCTGAGTAAAGTTCCACGTACTTGTTTTCTTGTCAATCTATGTGCTTATAGTTCTAAGTTGCTTGAGGACAAGCAACGACTTAAGTTTGAGGAGATTTGATTTGTCGGAAAAAGTGTGTGTTTTATATATTTATTACCGTATTTTTAAATGCTTAAATTTATCGCACTAATATATTTTTAGATTTATTTATTTATTAGATGGATGTGAGTACTATGATATATTTATGGTTTATTTTCAAGATATTTGAGTATTTTTATAGGCGACGTGGTATCATACGAATTATTCAATTTATATGGGCCCACGAGTTAAATAAAGAAAAAGATTGAGGTGGGAGATTAGGACTACACAAAAGGCCATTTTGCTTCTTGGATTAATTTGGGCCGTGAGATAATGTTTTCGGCTAAACATCTTGGAGTTACTCGGGCCAACTTGATAGAAAAACCAATTAATTGAATATGGAAAAAAGGGCAGAAACCAATTTATATATACTCACGCACAGAGCCGCCAGAGGGGAGCAACGCAAAGGAAAAGAATTATTTGCGAAGAGAAAGCGGACATCAGATACGGGAGGAACTTGATTAACACGCGGAGGGAGGCCGCACCCGCACACGAAAGGGGATGATTCTATTCTCTTTCTTTTGTTTTTATTTATTATGTTAGGCTAGGTTCTTATTTCTAGTTCCGGGGAAATCGAACCCTACGATTGACAATGTTTGATTAATTTATATGATTGATGATTTCAATATCTTTTTAGAATTGTTTGTGTTATTTTGAATAATTAACCATGATGTGTTGAGTCTTATTTAGATTGATCAACTAGATTAGGTTTTTCATATCTACAGCTGAATTAGACCTTCAATCCGTAATTGTTGATGTGTTTAGTTCATTAGAGACTACCGGAAGACGGTAACTACCGGGGATAACACGGCCTATTTAAGTGAACGAACGCGGTTGAATTCACTACTTAGTATAGCCTATTTTTCTAATTCGTAAAGCGGCTATTTGTATTAAATCTTGAAAACGTTTTTTCTGGACTGTACAAGAAATCAGGTTTAATCGTAGAGCGTCTCGCGGTTAAATTAAAAATAAGGAAAAATTCGGGTAACAGACCGTGTCGTTGCCTATGGCTAGTAATTCCATAAGATAGTGAGATTTGATACCAAAGTTGATTAGACGAGTTGGTCGAGGGTGTAGACGGAACCGTGAACTAGATATTTCTCTTAGTTTATTTAATTTTAAATTTATTTTCTTTGTTTAGGTTTTATTCTTAGATAGATTAGATTTTAATCCAATTCCCCCATTTATTGCTTTTTATAATTTCAATTATTACAAAAAAATTCACAATTTGATTCAGACTCCCTGTGGGTTCGACCCTTGCTCACTACTACCAGTTGGTAGAAGTCGGTTAAGGAAAATATAAATTATAATTTCGACGCATTGCGACGCTCGGTCAGTAACTGAGAGGCCTAGCTAACCAACACTTATTTTGAAATGAATATAATGTAATTTTTTATCAGTTACGTGCACTCTATGAGTTGTGTACTAATTTTAAATAGACATGTTTTATGTAATTTTACATAATTTAAATTTCATATAACATTTTCACTAAATCAAATATAGGTAAATTGTGCATATTAATTATATATCTTTAATTTATAAATATTATTTATGAATATTTTAAATTTATAAATATTAATGGATATCTTTTACTCGTGCATCGCACTAGATTCATACTAGTTGTTGAAATACATGAAGATATATATCTGCATTTGGTTCATATATAGATAGATAGATAGTGCTAAATTAGCATGCCACTGAGACACAAAAATCAACTACTAGATCATGCGTGAGGAACTTTATATCCTACTTAATTGAAAATAAGTAATTAGTTATTTG